TACTGCATCAATTAGTTTGCTCTGGAGCCCTCCTTCCTGAGCTAAGACAAAAATGTGTGAGCCAGAGGCTAAAAAACCATGATCTAACTCACACTAACTCAGCTTAGAGGGAAGACTGCTCTGTACCGAGACTAGTGCTTTTAAATTTGTTCATTAATGATTTGGAGTTGGGAGTAAGCCGTGAAGTCACTAAGTCTGCAGATGACACGAAGTTGTTCAGGGTGGTGAGAACCAGGGAGGTTTGTGAGGCACTCCAGAGGGATCTGTTGAGGCTAGGTGAGTGGGTGTCAACATGGCAGATGGGGTTCAATGTGGCCAAGTGCAAAGTGATTCAGATTGGAGCCAAAAATCCCAACTATAAATACACGTTGATGGGGTCTGAACTGGCAGAGACTGACAAGGAGAGAGATCTTGGAGTTGTGGTAAATAACTCACTGAAAATGTCGACCCATTGTGCAACAGCAACAAAAAAAGCCAAATGCGATGCTGGGAGTTATTAGGAAGGGAACTGAAACCAAATCAGCCAGTATCATAATGCTCCTGTATAAATCCATGGTGTGACCCCATTTGGAATACTGTGTACAGTTCTGGTCACCACACCTCAAAAAAGATACTATAACATTGGAAAAAGTACAAAACAAGGGCAACTAAAACGATTAAGGGGATAGAACACCTTCCCTACGAGGAAAGCTTAAAGAGGTTTGGGCTCTTTAGCTTGGAGAAACAACAACTGAGGGGTGGCATGATAGAGGTTTACAAAATTTATGCATGGGATAAAGAAGTAGAAAAAAAGTAATTTTCTCCCTTTCTCACAATACAAGAACTTGTGGGCACTCAATGTAATTGATTAGCAGTAGGCTTAAAATGGATAAAAGGAAGTCCTTCTTCACCCAAAGAATAATTAACATTGGAATTCACTGCCGCAGGAAGTGGTGGACACTACAAGCATAGACAGGTTCAAGAGAGGATTAGATAAATATCTGGAGCAGAGGTCCATCAGTGGCTATTAGCCACAAGGCATAAAGGGAATGCAATGTTTGGGGCAGTGATGCACTGTATTCTTGTCTGGGGGGGGCAAGAGTGGGAGGGCTTCTAGTGTCCTGGCCCCACTGCTGGACCTCCTGATGGCACCTGGTATTTCTGGCCACTGTGTGGCACAGAGCATTGAACTGGATGGGCCACTGGCCTGATCCAGCATGGCTTCTCTTAGGATGCTGGGTTAGATGGACTGCTTGGCTGATCCAGCAGGGCTCCTTTTATGTTCTTATGAAGGCCTTGGCCTCCATCCCCTACTGCCTGGCCCTTTGAACTGGAGATGCTGGGGATTGAACCTGGGACCTTCTGCATGCCAAGCAGATGTTCTGCCACTGAGCCACGGCCCTTCCCTAAGGGAATGCAGTGGCAGGCGTGGGAAGAGAGAGGGCTGCAGCTTTCACTGCTATTCTGACCTAACTTTGTTCTGCCAAACAAATATGATATTATTGAATCTGGTAAATGCCACATTGTCTGGAGAGTTGCTACTGTGCCTAAAGAGGGAAGGTGCCCAACTAACAAATCCAGAAATCTAAGCCTGGCTGCAAGGGGAACATTGTGTGTATTCCATATGCAATCACAAGGAATGCCTTTCCGTATTTTATGCACAAAGACTCCAGTAGGTCTGTGTTCAATTATGCAAGAAGTGAATCCACTGCTCGTTGTCAGACTAGCTTCTGTTTTTAGCAACGTTATATCTACCACTTTGCAGAACAGGTACACTTTCAGGATCCAGCATTCAGAAATATTATGAATAACTTCATGGATCAGAGTTTCATACCCAACGAAAAATTAGATATTGTTGATGCTATTCTGTGCATAGTGACTCCAGTCTGAACCCAACAAAATCAATGTGTTGTGATTGTGACTGGAGTAACTCTGCAGAACTGCTCTGTTCATGTTCATCAGTGATTTCACAGAGCATAAAGCATGCCAGGTTTATGCAGTGAAACTTGAGCTTCTAAATAAACATTAAAAGAAGAGCAAGACCGTCATTGAGTGGCAGCCCATGTGTGTTGCGTGCTTCAGGGCCCAGGTTCTGTCAACCCCGGGCATCTCAGCCACACCATCAAATCCACTATCAGGATTCCAACACCCTTTCGGCATTCCCTGTTTTCAGGAAATGGCTAAAAGAGTCTTCCGTCTGAAACCTAAGAGAGCTGTTGACAGTCAGAGTGGATACTGCCGGGTTTGGGGGCCCAGTGGTGTCATTGATTAAAGAGAGAGAAAGTTTTAGAGAGTTGAAGATGCAAAAAGGAAGAAGAAGAAGTAGAAGAAGAAGAAAAGAGAAGGAGGAGGAGGAGGAGATTGGATTTATACCCCACCCTTCACTTGGAGTCCCAAAGCGGCTTACGAACTCCTTTCCCTTCCTGTCCCCACAACAGACACCCTGGGAGGTAGGTGGGGCTGAGAGAGCTCTGACAGAAACTGCTTATTTTCAAGGAGCAGCTGTGCCAGAACTGTGGCTTGCCCAAGGTCATCCAGCAGCTGCAAGTGGAGGAGTGGGGAATCAAACCTGGTTCTCCCAGATTAGAGTCCGCATACGTAACCACTACAGCAAACTGGTGTAGGTAGGTAGGTAGGTAGGTAGGTAGGTAGGTAGGTAGGTAGGAAGGAAGGAAGGAAGGAAGGGAGGGAGGGAGGGAGGGAGGGAGCTATAGAATCACCCAGACCTTATTCCATTAGGGCACAGGATATATCTGCAAAAAGATGTTTGAAAATAATGATTCAGAATCCAACCAGTACACTATCAGTATTCTAAAATCCACAGTTTTGGCTGTCAGAGAGTCCAGAAGGTTATAGAGTGTGTCTCATACCCATGCAACGCTGATTCGGCCTTTTGGGAACTGCTTCTTAATCAAGATCCATGAAGATGTGACTTCTATTGCACTCAATGGGCTCATACCAAAGAGTAGCAGTACTAATCTGTAATTAGTTTCCAATCCATGAGCCGGGTGCGAACACTTCTACCAGCAGTACCAAGGTGGCCAGACCCAAAGCCTGTCTGATGTAGTGTCTGAGTTTTAGCTCCACTTTTCTATAGCTATTTGAGGAGCGGGGAGTCAGACACACTGATGAACTGGAGCATTGGCCATTTCGCCAAACCAAGAAGCCCCAGCATTGCAAGTTTTCCTTAAAATGCAAGAGGCCAAAATTCAGTGTAATGGGCTGGCTATGCTGGTCTTTTTAAATGCCTGCCCTAATTAGGCATAAAGTGGGATGAGGGGAAGTCTGATTTTCATATGAAAAGAGGCACGCAAGTTGAAGATCTAGACACTCCCCCTGTCCTGGTTTTTCCTGGACTTGCACAGGCTGTGTTGGTTGTTGTCTCCCTAGTGGTCTTTCTCAGTCTGTAACCTGATAACTAAACATTTTTTCCCTGCAAGGACACCACAAGCCAGTCTCCCTAAAGATAACAGCCCATCAAAACCTGCTTTGATTTTCCTTTTCGAGACATGATCTGTGCACTCAAGCCACTCAGTCCTCAGAGAAAGGCAGACCAGAAATGCCAAAAGAAATACAAATATTTTGCACTTGGAAGGAACCTTTGAGCCTGATTTTCAGAAGGCCTCAGAATGAAACCTTTGCCGAAGCCCATTTGAACAGAGAAAGCAAAATACAGCTGACGGCAAACGGCCTGATTTTCTTGCCAGATCTACTGAGGGGAGTGATTCTGTCGATGCCAAAGGAATCCATTAATGTTCCTTCATGATCCTTGCCTTGCAAACAATCTTTATTCCTGACACATCTCGTGGGGGGGGGGGAGAATGCACTGGCAATCCACTGCAAACCTCTCAGCTCTGAAACTGAGATGCTGCTGCGTTTGCTGAAGGGAGGGGGGCCCCTGGACGGAGGGCCAAGTTGGGCATCCTCCTCATGGGACAAAAAAGTCAGCGCAGAGCAAAGCAAATTGCAAAACAAAGGTTATTCTTCTGTACAGACTTTGACAGCCAGACGGGAGGTTGGCTAAGCAAGTCTGAACCCTTGCAGTTGTGGGGGTGCAGTGGGCGTTCGTGAGAGGGAGCGTCCCCCCCCCGTGCGGGAGGGCAGGTTCTCCAAAACCCACAGTTCCCAGTGGGACTCTCCCCTACATACACTCGCCAATCTCTCAGCAAAGCTGCATCCTGCAGGGGGGAAGCAGAGAGATTCCCGCAGGTACTGGAATGATGTTAGAGGGGAAAGGGTGTCTGGCACGCAGGGAAGAGACTGAGGCATCCAGCTCAGCCACGAATGCCTTGGGGGAGAGAGAGATGGATGCATTCCCTCTTAAGCCTTCTTTCTTTGAAACAAACAACCCCCCCAGGCCTGCAGCTACCACGGGGCATCTCGGGGCCTGGCCCCCTGACTTACTCCCAAGCCCCCCCAACTTCCCATCCAGCCCAGGGGCTCCCTTGCGTGGGTGTGCTGGGAGGATGTGCAGGCTGCCCCCTGACTTATTTAAAGCCCCCCACCAAAATTTTAAAAAATCCTGGCTACGGGCCTGCTGCGACCAGTGTTCCCCCTAAGCTGAGTGAGTGTGAGCCAGCTCACCGTCTCTGAGCCTCCGGCTCGCACGTTTTTGTCTCCGCTCAGGAAGGATGGGGCTCCAGAGCAGACTAACTGAGGCAGCAGCCCAATCGCTCGCTCACAGCTTTAATGCCGGCAGCTCACAAAATAGAATTTTTGCTCACAAGACCCCGCACCTTAGAGGGAGCAGCGCCTGCAAACCCCCCCCCCTTCTCGATTTTATGGCACAAAGAGAATAGGAGGAGGAGGCCTCGAAGCCCTTCGCCACGCCAGGCGCAGGGAGGCCGACTTGCTCCCATCCACCCCCCCTTAGGCCTGGGGTATTGTTCAGAAGGGAGAGAGAAAGAGATGGGGGCGGGCGCTTGCAATTCCCTGGCTGCAAGGAGGCTCTTGCGACCCCTCGCAACGGTCCTGGGGGGCTCCCCCCGCCTCCCCCCCCCCCCCCCCCCGGCCTGACTCACGGCAGCTGTCGGAGCTGGAAGAGGTCTTCCTCCATGGCGCCGGCGGGGCGGGAGGCGCCTCTCTGGCATGGCGCTTACATGGCGGGGAGAGAGGCGAGGCGAGGCGAGGCGAGGCGAGGCGAGTTCAGGAGCTCTGCCTGCTGGACAGCTCCTCCCGGGCCCGCCCGCCCGGCGCCGCTGCCAGACGGGGACGGGGCGGAGGGGGCGGAGGGGGCGGAGGCGGAGGCGGAGGCCGGCCCCGTCGCCTCCCTCTTCTTCTTCTTCTTCTTCTTCCTCGCCGGGCCGGGGGCGGACCGTCCTGGCTCTCGGGGCTGGGGCGAGCGCAGCAGCGGCAGGTGGGCGAGGGGCAGGCGGGCTCCCCAGGGTCGCCACCCGCGCAAGGCAGGCAGGCGGCCAAGAGGCAGCGATGTGTCTGCAGCGCTCGGCAGTCGTCGTCGAAAGAACGCGGCCAAATTACGCAACCTTTCTGGTAGGTTCTGTGGGTCGTCGGATCCCCCCAGTCCTCCGCCCCTGCGCCCTTCCCCTGGACTCCGGGAGCTTTCCCTCTGTCTCCCTGCAACGGGGGGAGTCGACGCCATCAGTGGATTCCTGGGATCCACTCCACCCCCACTGCAATATAGCCAACAAGAAATACGCACCTATTCCGGACAGGTTATTTTCAAGACGGTGGGTGGAAAGCCAGCTTGCTCAGAGAGGCTTAGTGGGGGCAGCAGGCCAGGCAGCAATGTATCAGTAGCACTAGGCAGTTGTTGAAAGAATGCGGCCAAATTACACAACCTTTCTGGTAGGTTCTGTGGGTCGTCGGATCCCCCCAGTCCTCCGCCCCTGCGCCCTTCCCCTGGACTCCGGGAGCTTTCCCTCTGTCTCCCTGCAACGGGGGGAGTCGACGCCATCAGTGGATTCCTGGGATCCACTCCACCCCCACTGCAATATAGCCAACAAGAAATACGCACTTATTCCGGACAGGTTATTTTCAAGACGGTGGGTGGAAAGCCAGTTTGCTCAGAGAGGCTTAGTGGGGGCAGCAGGCCAGGCAGCAATGTGTCAGCAGCACTAGGCCGTTGTTGAAAGAACGCGGCCAAATTACGCAACCTTTCTGGTAGGTTCTGTGGGTCATTACAGCCTCCCCAGTTCTCCGCCCTGCGCCCTTCCCTTGGATTCCAGAAGCTTTCCCTCTGTCACCCTGCAACAGGGGGAGTTGACACCGTTAGTGGATTCCTGGGATCCACTCCACCCCCCCTTTTTTCCAACAAGAAATACCCAACTATTCCGGGCAGGGTACTTTCAAGATGGTGGGTGGAAAGCCAGCTTGCTCAGAGAGGCTTAGTGGGGGCAGCGGGCCAGGCAGAGTGGGGATGTCGCAGTTTCTTGCCCCATGAGGGCAGCCTAACACAATACAGCTCATTCAGCGGCTGGGAATGGGTGGCGAGGGATGAGAGGAGGAGGAGGAGGAGAAGAAGAAGAAGATTTACTGGCTCTTGCTACAATAAATTAGATCGATCGGAGGAGGAGGAGGAGATTGGCTTTATACCCCGCCCTTCACTCAGAGTCTCAGAGCGGCTTACAAACTCCTTCCCCTTCCCGCAACAGACACCCTGTGAGGTAGGCAGGGCTGAGAGAGCTCTTTCCAGAACTGTCCTTGAGAGAACAGCTCTAACAGAACTATGGCTTGCCCAAGGTCATCCAGCAGCTGCAAGTGGAGGAGTGGGGAATCAAACCGGATTAGAGTCCGCACACTTAACCCCTACACCAAACTGGCTCAGAGAGGAATCTGAGACGGGTGGCACTGGGCACCACAACCACCGCCATTTTATTTCGTTTGCACAGAAGCTTCCGAGAAGGCAACAATCTATCTGAGCAGTGAGAATGTGGACCTCAAGGGGCAGTTTCCTCCAAGAGCCACAACTATATGAATTCATCGTGCTGCTGGATTTGGGGGGGGGGTACCGAAGGCTTAAGACTGGAAGTTCACCATAGGGTGTAAAATCGGAGTCGCTTGTGGCAGAATAAGCTTAGAGTCACACTGCGTGTCTTGCTGGCTTGTATCTCTCATTGGCATTAATATGGGAACGCCCTTTTGAAACTCCTTCCATATTGTCTGGCCACCAGTTAAGATTTGCCTCTCTCAAACCCCGTGATCTGTGCCTTCCGAGGTGAGGTGGCTGGCGACTAGAGACGGGGCATTTTCTGCAGTGGCCCCTCACCGTTGGCATGCCCTCCTTGAGACTCGTCCGGTGCCCTCCTTTACCGTCTTTTAGGCACTCACCCAAAGCATATCTTTTTACTCTGGCTTTTTATCAGGGGCTTTGTTTTTCCAGCTGTTTCGATCCGTTCCTGGCCTGATGACAGTTTCATTCTGTTTTTAAGCCCCCCCCCCGCTTCTTTTAATGGCTTCTTATCTTTAAACTGATAACATTATTTGAATAGTCAGCTGCACGGAGCAGGATGCTGGAGAGGTCAACAGAGAAACCTCCTAAATAGAGAAATGATTGCAATGCTCCTGCACTGCAGTAGTGGAAAATATATTCAGCTGTGAGCCACAAAGACCCCAGATTCAAACCTCACCTCTGCCAGCATCTCACTAGATGAGCTACTGGCTCTCAACCCCCACCTGTAAAATTATAATACCAGCCTACATAACACAGTTGTTTTTAGCACTTCTTAAATTACATGAAGGAGATGCGGTGGGTCAATGGGTAAGATGTTGAACTGCAGACCGGAAGGTCGGTAGTTCAGTAGTTCGAGACCCGAGTACCGCATGACAGAGTGAGCTCCCGTCTCTGGCCCCAGCTCCTGCCAACCTAGCAGTTCGAAAGCAGGAAATTGCAAGTAGATAAATAGGTACCACTTCAGTGGGAAGGTAACAGCATTCCGTGCGCCTCGGTGTCTAGTCATGCCGGCCACATGATCATGGAGAAGTCTTTTGACAGCGCTGGCTCTTCGACTTGGAAACAGAGATGAGCACTGCAACCCTAGAGTTGGACTCGACTGGCTTTCGAGCAAGGGAAACCTTTATCTTTACCGTTACCTAAATTACATGAACTACTTACTGTAAAGCCAGTTTGGTGTAGTGGTTAAGTGTGCGGACTCTAATCTGGGAGGACCGGGTTTGATTCCCCACTCCTCCACTTGCAGCTGCTGGATGACCTTGGGTAAGCCATAGTTCTGTCAGAGCTGTCCTTGAAAAAGAGCAGGTTCTGTCAGAGCTCTCTCAGCTGTGCCTACCTCACAGGGTGTCTGTTGTGGGGAGGGGAAGGGAAAGGAGTCTGTAAGCCGCTCTGAAACTCCAAGTGAAGGGTGGGGGTCAGTGTTCCCTTTAAGCTGAGTTAGTGTGGGCTAGCTCACCATTTTTTAGCCTCCGGCTCACACATTTTTGTCTTAGCTCAGGAGGGATGGCTCCAGAGCAAACTGATTTCTGCAGCAGACGAATTGGGGGTGGGAGTTATAATCAAGGCTCCCTCTAAGCTGTGGAGTCCTGTGAGCAAAAATCCTACTTCGTGAGCTCCTGGCATTAAAGTTGTGAGCAAGCAATTCAGCTGCTGCAGAAATCAGGGCCTTTTGTTGTGGCGCCAAAATCATAGACTCCTCCACACACACACACTGATTTGCCTGGTGCCAAGTGTTCAGTTCCAGGTGAACACATTTTGGTTTTCCTAGGCTTTTGGCTGAGTAGGAGTGGGGGGGGCTTCTTTTTTTCTTCCTTACTCTTTGCAGAGCTCATTAGGACAGAATGTTTCTGATTTTCAGATTGCTTCAGATTGCTCCAGCTATTGGGGCTTACACTACCGCACCATGGTTTAGTTGCTGGTTTCAGAGTCCTCTTCTTCAAATTTTATTCACACTTACTCAAATTATATGTAAATACATATCGTACTAGAACAAGGAGATCGAATTAGTCAATACTGAAAGAAATCAACTCTGACTGTTCCCTGGAAGGCCAGATACTGAAGCTGAAGCTCAAATACTTTGGCCACCAAACGAGAAGGGAGCACTCGCTGGAGAAGACCCTGATGCTGGGAAAGACTGAAGGTCAAAAAAGACGGGGATGGCAAAGGGTGAGATGGTCAGACAGTGTTATCGAGGCAACGAACGTGAAATTAAGCAAACTGGAGGATGACGGAGGACGGGAGGGTCTGGTGTGACGTGGCCCATGGGGTTGCGAAGAGTTGGACTCAGCTGTGCAACTGAACAACAACCAGAACAACAGAATACACCAGTGCAAACCCAAGACGCTTTCCTGAAAGTGAGTCCCACTGAACAGACCTGAGTAGACCTGCTTCGTATTGCTTTCAGAATGTAAGGAAGAAGGTAGCTCTGAATGAACTGCTGAATACATGTCAGGTTTTTTTTACGGATACTCTGTTTTGCACTGTCAGTGGCCTGTAATTTATCATGAGGCTCCATTTCGTTTTTCCTTTCAGGCTCTTTCTGCCTTCAGTAAGCTGACTATTACAGCAAAGCTTGTGTATTGCCTGGATATACCAAGGCCCACTCCATTGCCTCCGCCATTTAGGGAGGGGCTGTAGCTCCGTGGTAGAGCATCTGCTTGGCAAAGGTCCCAGGCTCAACCCAAACGACAATGTGGATGACAATGTGGCAAATGAAGTTCAGTGTTGGTAAGTGTAAAGCGATGCACATTGGGACAGAAAAATCCTCACTTGAAGTCTAAGCTAATGGGGTCTGAACTTGCTGAGAATGAGAAGGAAAAAGATTTTGGAGTAGTCGTGGACAACTCGAAAGTGTCAACCCAGTGTGCTGCAGCAGTGAAAAAGGCAAACTCTGTGTTATTAGGTAAGGGATTGAGACTAAAATAGCCAATATTCTAATGCCCCTGTGCAGGGGTCATTTCATAGAAAAAGAGGTGCAGGAGCTCATTAGCATAACTCATTAGCATAACTTATTTGCATATGCCACACCCCCTGAATTCACTAGACGTGTGTCAGAAGGCAACACCCACCACTCAGGCTCCACTGGAGTGTTTTGGATTGATAGCTATTGGGGGGGGGGAGAGAGCGTGCAGATCTGTCCTCACAGA